GCTGACCTGTTTAACTGGGCAGCAGGAAGTTACCCTCCTGTCTCATTATGATAAAGGATTGCTTGTAATCGATGCCATCACAAGTTCGATATTTATCTCGGTTTTCATGCTTCTGTTGTTACTAATAAAAATATTTATGGCTACGTTTAAGGAATAACTAGAAGGCTTTGATATGCCTGCTTAGGACAGTGAGCTTGGTCAAAGGTCACAGCTTGAAACTGTGGACTTTGGATGATAACGATGTGTCAATGTAGGTTCATCGATTGTAACAAATGTACCACTCTGGTGTTGAATGTTGATAGTAGGGAAAAAAGACAAGGATTATATGGGAACTCTCTGTAATTTATGCTCGATTTTTCTGTGATCCTGAAACTCCTGTAGAAAATAAAATCTATTTAATTTAAAAAATGAAATGCAGTTTTCAGAATACCAGCCCCAGCATCACAGCAGTATATAGAATAGTGGATTTGAAGCTGAAAGACATAGTTTGATAATCAGCACACTCTCCTTGCAGATATTACAAGAAACCTAGAACAATTTAACTTTATTTAGAAACCTCTCAATGTATATGTTATTGTTTTGGTGTGTTTTAATTCCATTTTAATAGTTAAACTCTAGAAGACTTTAGTACTGTTGTTTTTTTATTTTCAGAGATCATGTAGGGTTTTTACCTATTCTCCATTCTGTTTCTATGGCTGCTTTTAATTTAATTTTATTTTAATTGTGGTAAAATTTACAGGCAGTGAAATATACTGGTCTTATATGTTCTAGGTCAGTGTGTTTTGACAAATGTATACCCTATATAACCCACACTCTGGATACTTTTAACATCTACTGTTTTTCTTTAATGTTACTCAGTTTCTCTGTGATATGTCTATGTGTATAGACTTCTTCTCATCTATTCTGCTTGAAATTTGTTGGGCTTCAGGACTCTGTAGATTTGTATCTTTCAATTAGTTCCCTAATTGACTTATAAAAATCTTTATACAATGAAACATTATCTTTGCTTTATTATCTCTCACTCCTTCAAGAATTCCAATTAGGTTTCTCACTTTACTCTCCGTATGTCTTATTTTCTCTTTCATATTCCTCTCTTTGTGGCTCTGTATTTCATTCTGGATAATTTCTTTTAACCTATTTTCTAGTTCATTAATTCTATCTTCAGCTAAATCTAAACTGCTCTTTGAGTTTCTCAAAAGAAAATTTAAGTGGAAATTTTCAAGTAATATCAAAAGTAAAATATAATGAATTTTTATATACTTATCATCCCGCTTAAACTATTGTAAAATATGGTCAATTTTGTTTCCTCCATACCCTTACCCCTTCTCCCAGACTCCCACAGAATTATTTTAATGCAAATGCCAGACATACCATTTCATTAGTAAACACATAAATATGTATCTCTAAGAGACAAGGACTATTTTTTAACATAACATATAACAATACCATTATTACATCTAACAAATTGAATATATTATAACAATAATACTATTATTACATCTAGCAAAATTAATAATGATATCTTAATATCATAAAATATTCATTCAGTGTTCAGATTTCCCTAATTGACTCATAAAAATATTTTTATAGATGGCGTGCATAAAAGTCTTTTGATAGGTGGTTTGTTTCAGGATCCAAACAAGATCTACACATTTCATTTGGTTGATGTGTTTCTTAGATCTCTTTTAATCTTTAATGGTTCTCCTCTCTGCTTTTTTTCTTGCAATGTATTTATTGAAGAAACAGGGGCATTGATCCTGTTTTATTCCTGATTACATCAGAATTACATTCTGACGGTGTCATTTAACATATTCTCCTATTTCTCATATTTCTCATAAACTGGTAGTTATATTTAAAGTCTTGTATTTTGAGTAAGAATCTTTCATAGATAATGCCCTATACTTCCTGTTGTATCCCATCAAGTAGCATGTAATGTCTGATTGTTCCTCTTTTCATGACGTCAAGTTTTAATAGTGTATGCACATGGTGTCAGCTTGATTCACCTGTAAGCTTCTTACCTAATGCTTCTGGCAGTCATTGATAACTATTGCCTAAATCAATGATTTCATTAGGATTGTAAAATGATGACAGTATGTCATTCCTTCTACACTTAAACTAAAAACTTTTTAGCTGGAGTTCTTCTACAAAGAATAATTGCTTCTTAAACTATTAAGTTATTTTATCCATTTTTCATTTCTAGGACCTCTATTTTAAATATGTTAGGTCATTTTTATAGTTTTTTTTGTTTGTTTTCTGATATATTTTCAAGTTTCTCTTTTATTTCTTTAAGTATAGTAAACATGATTATTTTGTAATCTGTGTCAGATAATTACAATATCTGAAGTCTTTGGGGCTCAATTTCTGCTGTCATTTCTTATGGTGCTCATTCATGGTGTCTTATCTTTTGTGTTTAGTTATTTTTTATTATGAGCTACTAACTTTCCTTGGAAAATGATATGTAAAAGTTCTTTGATTCCTAGGATGAAGGGAAATTTTTTCAGAGTGGATTTGTGTTTGCTTCTGCCCTAGGGCATTATACTCTCCTCCTTAGAACCACTAAAATTTAAATTTATAGCTTGAATTTTTTTAACCACCCAAATGTTGTGAAATTGGACTGCAAATTTCTTTAAGGACCTGTTTGTGGTCACAAATCCCCCTGCTCTGTTTGGCATCAAGGCAACCTTCTTTGCAGTTCCCTGGAGATGGGAACTGGGGGCAGCTTCATTACAGGGGTATCTTCTCTCAGATGCTCCACGTCAAGTAGGCCTTCTGTTCCTACCTTTGGAAAAAAAAACACCCAAACCAAACCAAACAAACAAAAAAACTACACAACAACAAAGCTCAATTCTTCAATTTGGCAAATGCCCTCCAATCAAAGGAGACCCAAGTGTTTCGAATATACCTCTCCAGGTTTCTAACTTTATTTAGATTTTGGCCTGTTAATTCTTTGCTGTTTTGTTGGCTTTGCCATGCTTTTAAGAAGGAATATATTTACACTTTACCCAGAATTTTTAGTTGTTTTTAGTGTGAGGATAACCAACCATATTGAAGAAAACAGAAGCCTGTTTGTTTAGTCTTCCCGGCACAACTTTTTATTTTCATTGGAATTAATGACTTTTCCCTCTTTAACTTTCTACATACTCATCATTAACATAGCCTCACACTCTCCTCTGGTTATACAAATATCTTCTCAATAAGTTCAAATATATCAGGTAGTCTATCAATTTTACTTATTGAAGAAATCACTCCCAAATCCTCTGAACTGCTTTATTTTGATGAACTCATCTCTAGTCCTTCCCTACAACTTGGACTCCCCCTTCGCCATTGTCCTGGGGATTCCTTTTGTTTCTCTTTTGTGCTGGATCCTATTTCTAGGATTCCATATCATTCTTTTAGTGACTTACTGATTTGTCTTGGTGTAATAAATCCTTTCCTATATTTCTGGAAAACAATGTCTGGAATCTCAAAATTTTGAGATTTTGCATATCTGAAATTCTTTATCCTAGACTTAAAATTAAATCAGTTTGGCTAAGTGTAGAATTCTAGGTTGAAAATAATTTCCTTCTGAATTTTGCAGACATTTCTTCATTGTCTTCTACCTTACAGTGTTGATGAATTGATAAGCCTAATGCTGTTCTGATTTTTGATCCTTGTATGCAACTTGTTCTTTCTCTCCGAAAACTTTTGGAATTGTTTCTCTGTGTCCAGTGTTCTGATAATCCATATGGTGTGTCTTGGTGTGGGCCTTCATTTCTTGATTTCAGGGGAATACTTTTAAATAATTTCTTTGATTATTTCTTCTGAGTCTCTGTTCTCTTTTTGGGACTCTCAGTATTCTGGCATTCTACCTTCTGGACAGATTGTCTAATTTTTATCAATTTTCTCCTAAAGTAGAGCAAATTTGATCTTCATCTTCCAGTCTTTCTATTGAATTTTTATTTCTGCTATATGGTTTTGATTTCCAAGAGCTCTTTTTGCTTATCTGAATAGTAGTTACTTTTTAGTATATGTGCTGCAGAAGCGAGCACGGTAGTTACTTTTTAAATAGCTTCCTTGTGTTATTTTGAGGATACATGTTCTCTCTCTGAGGATATTAATGATGGATTTTTTTGTTTCTTTTATTTTTAAGTGTTTTTCTCTCTTGCAATTTTTGTCTCTTCTAAATTTATTTTTTCCTTCTTGCTTTCTTTCTTGTAAAGACTTTCCTTAAATGTCTAATAATCCTGGCCATCTGCTTATATTTAAGAGTGAGGACATTAAAAAGCTTATTGGAAAGACTATGAGGGCTGGGCATGTAGACCAAGAGCTTAATTGTAGAAATCCTTCATTTACTTCATTAAGAGAATCCTGATGAGAGTATCTTTGGGATTTCTCTTTGGGGCTAGTCAGATTCCCCAGAGAAGTTTTCCAAGGGTATAATCATGCTCTTGTCTACCTTTGTTTAGGAATCAATTTCTCAGGTTCGCTAAACCAGTTACCATTCCTTCATTTGCTTTCTAGCTTCTAAAATGTTGCTGCTGTTGTCTCCTTTCCCTCTCTCTTTGTTCTTGTATGATCTGGAGTATAATTTGTACATTCGCCTCCCCTTCCCCCGGCTTTAACTGGAAGCCTCCGTTATTCATGATAATTTTACTGGAGGACAACATATTGTACAGACGGAATCGTGTAGAAGGGTTTTGATACTAATTACCATATTGCCCTTAAATTACACGTACATACGAAAAGAGCAATGCTTTTATATAATAGTTCGTTTTGCAAACAAGAATGATCTTTCAGGGGTATTGCGTGCACCCACCCACTGGCCTCAATCCTCCGCCTGGCGCGGGCCGATACAATGCAAGAAACGACTGATAAAGGTGATAACAAGAGATGTAGGAGACAGCTGTGCGAATACAGAGACAAACTGCTTAAAAGGACCCAGCACATACACGCCTCTCTAGAACTGGGAGAAGGTGGGAGGGGGTCTGGTCTCGTCAATGATTGGTTGGCCTCTCGGACCAATCTCACACAGTGCGTGATTTTTGCCAATAATCGTGATCCACCTCCTCGTGGGCTTTGGAGCGTCGTTTACAAATGGAAATCCGGTACGTGAGAGGGACAGAACATGTAGCCAATGAGCCTTGGAGCATTAATGGGTGTGGTGAGGCCGCTGCCAGGTTTAGGGCGGAAGGAGTTCGGGATAAGAAGGGGAACGAAAGATGGCGGCAGAAACGCTGCTGTCCAGGCTGTTGGGGCTGCTGCTCTTGGGGTTCCTGTTACCTGCAAGTCTCGCTGGCGGTGTCGGGAGCCTGAACCTGGAAGAGCTGAGTGAGATGCGTTATGGGATTGAGATCCTGCCGTTGCCTGTCATGGGAGGGCAGGTGAGGAGGCGTAGAGCGGGCGAGAGTCTGGGGCAAGGGGAAGTGGGGAAAGAAGAGGAAGAAGGGCAGCTGTGGAGTCTGCGGCGGGAGCTTAAGGAGAATCGGGAAGAGTAGGTAGGAGTTTTACTGTATCTCCTGAGGATCGCAGACTGAGACCCATTTCCTCGGGGCCGGAGACTGGGAGGGGGTGAGGCTTCCGGCTGTCAGCATTAGGTTCTAGTTCTTGATCAAAACACCCCCTCTCCCCAGGCTCCGCCCCAGTGGAGAAGTGGGAGTGCCCTCTCCCTTCACCCGTCAAACGGAGCTGGACGACTTGTGGCTCACTCTGTCTTGACGGGGACTTTCCCGGGGATCTGAAGAGGGATCTCGTTGTTCTGCCTGATCCTAGCCTCTCTTTGCCTTCCTATCCCCCAATTCTCCCTTCTTTCCCAGAGCCAAGCTTCAGACGTGGTGATTGTCTCCTCTAAGTACAAACAGCGCTATGAATGTCGCCTCCCAGCTGGAGCTATTCACTTCCAGCGTGAAAGAGAGGAGGAGGCCCCTGCTTACCAAGGGCCTGGGATCCCTGAGTTGTTGAACCCAATGAAAGATGCTCCCTGCCTGCTGAAGGTGAAAGGGACTGGGATGGATAGAATGAGGGTTTGGAAACCGTCTGAGAACCAGAGTGCCAGTGCGTAGGACAGAATGGGGAGGACCTTTCAGAGTTAAGAAGGCCATTGGAGGAGTAGACATAATGTACAGACAGGAAAGAAGCAAAGAATCTTGCAACCATTGATGACACTTTGCTACATGTAGAGGAAGGTTAGGATATAAGATCTCAAAATAAAGGTAAAACTAAAACCGAGGGACAGTGTGAGGTAGGAGAGGCACTCCCCTAAAGAAGCCTTCCTGATAAAGTCACCCCCTGCCTCTATCACTCTCTGCCCCAATATCCTGTTTTCATTGTGCCACTTTTCATAATCTGAAATCATCTGATTAACTAAATAATCAGTGTATTTATTTTTGGTCTGAGTCCCAGCACTAGAATGTAAGTTCATGAGGTCAGAGAATTTATCTTGTTCATAGGTATATCTCCAGTGACTAGAACAGCACAGGAAATGTAGAAGTTCAATTAATATTTGAATATTTTATGTTTCCCTGGTCTGAGTGCTTCAAGAATGCCATTTCTTATCTTTATGGGAAGCGAAAAAGGATTTCTAAAAAAATCTTTAAAAAGGGAAGCATGGAAAGCCCACAGGTGGAAAACAGACTTTAGAGGTATCTCTCTGAGTCATAGAAGAAAACAGCCCTCCCTCCCTCCTCACTAAGAATCTGATGTATTGAGTGTGGCAGCAGAGAGAGATGAGAAGATGGTAGGTTATGTGTCTTGGAGCCAGGAGAGATTCTGGTTCCAAGAAGAGACATCTACACGTCATCCTCCTGATTGTTTATTTTTTTATTGTCAGACCAAGGACTGGTGGACATATGAATTTTGTTATGGACGCCACATCCAGCAATATCACATGGAAGGTGACTCACTTCTACATTTTCCCTAAGCCCTCAGCAATCTGTCATGGAAGGTGACCTCCCTCCGCAGTCCCCTTTCCTCCTAGTCCTCTTAGAAGGGAGTAGTCATGATTCATTGGTTTCTCTTGCAGATTCAGAGATCAAAGGTGAAGTCCTCTATCTCGGCTACTACCAATCGGCTTTCGACTGGGATGATGAAACAGCCAAGGTGGCAGCAGTGTGGGATTGGGCAAGAAAGGGGTCCTGGCTGCAGACTAAGAGCCCTGACAAAAAGGGGAGGGTCAGAATTAGCTGATGTGTTTCTTGGGACTTGGTGGCCATTAGGACAATGTGCCATTCTTCCTCCTTGCTGTATTTCTCACACCCCCTCCCTCCTGCCTGATGTCCTCCCCAGGCCTCCAAGCAGCATCGCCTGAAACGCTACCACAGCCAGACCTATGTCAATGGGTCCAAGTGCGACCTCAATGGGAGGCCCCGGGAGGCCGAGGTTCGGGTGAGTCCTGAAAGAGGGAAGCTGATATTTCCTCAGTGACAATTCAGACTTTAATGGAAGAGGGAAGGTTTGTATTTTACGGTCGTAAAGCTCTCTCTATCACCTTAAACCCTATGTTTAAGACTCTTATTGCCAGTTGCCCAGCTGGATGTCACTGTCTTGATATTCAGAAGCACTTCTAGTCAGCATTTCCCAAATCGTCTTCTCCAAATCCCCAACCACACTTACTTCTATTTCCATGGTTCTTCTTTCTGTCACCTAAACTAGAAACCTGAATGTCATTAATGACTCTTCCTTCTCCTTTGCTTTGTCCTCCTTTCTTCATTTAATGGCTCTTCATTTAATGGGCTCTGCTCTGGGGATACAGTGATGGGCAAACTTGCCGCCCTGCCCCCATAGAATGCATAGTCTAGAAAGGAAAACAGATATTAACAAAAGAACCGCAGAAATGAGTCTGTAATTACAGAGAAGTGATATGAAAGAAAGGAATCTATTTCTTTCAGAGTAAATATCAAAGCCTATTCATTCTATTCTAGATTTCTCTCATAACTCTCTTCTTCTTTTCTATGTTGGTACCTTTATCTCTCACCTGCATCACTGCCAACAGCCTTTTAACAAGTGTTCCTGATCTAGTGGTCTTTACTGAGTGCAGGCAGGCAGGCAGACAGGCAGGCAGATGTATGGTGGGAAAAATTCCTTAGCTGATTCCAATGTGTATTTACAAACATATACACCTGTCAAGAACCACATGACAAGAATTATCTTTCTGTAATACACATTTGCACATGTAGTTGTGTGTTGATAAATGTTGAACACCCAGATCATGAGGATAGGGTAAGGGGAGAGGAGAGGGGAGCCCTGATTTATAAAGTTTGCCAGTATCTGTGGCATAAATATCCCCACCATGGCCAAATTCATGCTATCACCATGATATCAACTATCTTGCAACATTACTGAAAATTTCCTAGTTGGCTCTTGTGAACTGGTGTGAGCTGGCTCCAACATAACCACTATAAGCATGTGTTACTTCTTTGCTCAGTCCTGGAAAACCTTCGATGATTCTGCTTGTTCAAAGGAAGATCCAAATATTTCAACCCAGACTGGGGTGATAGCAGTGGAGGTAATGGGAAGCAGTCAGATTCTGGATGTATTTTGAAGATAGAGCCAATAAGATATATTGATGGATTGGATTTGGGGTGGAGTCGAGTATGACCCCAGTTTTTAGCTTAAGCAACTGGAAGTGGGAGGTGTTGGGCATGTGAAGGCCAAGATGCCTATCAGACATCCCTGTGGCAATATCTAGTTGGTAGTTGACTCTGTGATTCTGGAGTTCGGGGACAGGTCTGGCCTGGAGATGTAAATACTCGTTGTGTTTCTGCTCCATTGACCTTCTTTTTTTTCTTTGAACCAGTAGGTCTCATTGTTTCCCTCTGCCTAGAGCTGTCTTCCCTGAGGTCTTTGAAAGGCTGGCTCCATCCCCTCTTTCAGGTTATATATCCCTGTGACCTCCAGAGGGAGACCTGATGTAGGAACACAGATACACACACTCAGGTGCACCCTTCTGCCCCCATCTTTCTTTCTCTATCCTTGTAAATGCCTACAGTGTTTTATATTCTTCAAAGATGTGTCACTTCCTGAAATCATCTTACTCGTTTGAATTTACTATATCTGCCCCCACCAGAATAAGCTCCAGGTAGTAAGGAACAATATCTGTCTTATTTTCTGCTATATCCTCAGTGCCTGGAACAGTGTAGGTACCAAGTAGGCACCCAGAAATTATTCAGTGAATGAATGGAATGAATGACAAGCCAGTCCAAATGTGAACTTTCTGGGCTAACTCAGAAAGTTAGTTGTCTTCCTTCAGTGCTTCATATACATACATCCACATCCACATGTACCCATGTCTTAGTACATTTGGGCTGCTACAACAAAATACCACAGGCTGGGTAGCTTATAAACAACAGAAATTTATTTCTCACATTTCTAGAAGCTGGAAGTTGAAGGTCAGGGTGCCAGCATGGTGGGGTGAAGGTCCTCTTCCAGGTCAAGACTTCTTGTATCTCCACATGGTGGAAGGGATTAGGGAGCTCTCTGGGGTTTCTTTTATAAGAACACTAATCCCATGCATGAGGGCTCCATCCTCATGACCTAAGCACCTCCCAAAGGCCCCACTTCCTAATACTATCACATTGGGGGTTAGGATCTCAACGTATGAATTTTAAGGGGGGCATAAACATTCAGACCATAGCAACCCACACGCATCCACACATATGTAATCCATTATAGCACTTCATCATATTCTCTTTATTTCTTTACTACTTTGCAACTTCGGTAGGCCAAGAGCTGACAGCAAAGATTGTGTTTTCCTCCTATCTATTGAACATATGCCCTGTGCCAAGCTCTATATAATAGAAACTGGGGATAAAACGATGACTGAGAGACCAAGTCCTGCTCTCAGACATTAAATAGCCACAACAAGCAGGATAAATACTTGGACAGGTGAAGTACATATCATAGGGGAGCATACAATGAAGGAACTAATCAATTCTAGATAAAGGAGAGGTCCCTGGAAGAAAGTGACATTTGATGTGACTGATGATTGAAGAATAAGGAGTTAGTCCAGCAGCTGTAGAGGAGTGGGAGAGAGAAGAAGAAGGCATCCCAGGTGGAAGGTGCAGTAAGTGCAAAAGACCTGAAGGCAAATGGCCTGTCTCAGGACTTGAGAGCTGTTCACAGTGACTGGAGAGAATTGTGGGAAAGGGGTTTGGGAGGTTGTTTGAAGAGACTAGGCAGTTGCCCAGAGGGGACAAGTCACAGGTCATGAAGCTCTGTAGCTATGTTAAGGAGTTTGGACAACCTGAGAAACAAGGGAGAGCCACTGAAGTGTTTTAAGCAGAATGATGACATATTCAGTTTTGGTTTCGAAGGATCACTCTGGCTGGAGTATAGTAAATGATTGGGAAACCAATTAGAATATGGTTGCAGCAATTCAGGTGAGAAAACCAGGGTGGCCTGGGGATGAAGAAATGTGAATTTCTGGAGAGATTTAAGGGATGAAATCAATAAAGTAAGATGAATAAAGTAAGATGATTGAAGGATAAGGAGTTATAAAGTAAGATTCCCAGGTTTCTGGCTTAAGCAACTGAATAGATGGTGATTCCTATTACTGAGATAGGTATAGTAGGAAGAGGAGTAGATTGAGTAAAGAAAAATGATTTTGGTTTTGAATAGGATGATTTTAGCGGCTGCAGTCATCCAAGCAGAGATATCTGAGGAGGCTGTTGGATCTGTGGATCTGGAGCTCAGGAGAGTGATCTGAGTTGAACACACAGGATTGGGAGTCATCAACATATTGGTTACAATTGGAGTCACAATATGGATAAAATTCCCCCAAAGAAACAGTATATAATGAGAAAAGTGGGACAAAACTTTGAAAGAGCCATCACTGAAAGCATGAGCAGAAGGGCTCAGCCAAGAAGAAAAGGCCAGAGAGGAAACTATGGTGAAATGGAACTCAGGAAGGACATGTTTCAAGGAGGGACTGGTCCACGGTGTCGACTACATCTGAACCTTCAGGGAAGAGGAGAATTAAAACTGCTTGTGCATAATCATGAGATTTATTATTTTAATAAAAGCAAAGTGTGCACATAGAAATAAAAATTCAGATGGTGGGCACTGGAACCAGATGGAAATTCCTGTCTTCTATTCTCAATCACCCTTGCCCAGTCCTTAGGTTGAACTTAATAGCAGAGGCAAATGGCCATCTTTGCTAGAACAGTTTCAGTGGGGTGGTGAAGTCTAGATAGGAAGGAGAGGGAAAGGCATGCACTAAAGAGTGGCTGTGGTGTTGGGGAGGGTGCTACTTGGTTGTTGTGTGTTTTAAGAGGGGAGCACGTTTAAATGTTGTTAGGTGGACCTGGTAGAAAGAAGGAGAGGTTGAGGTACAGGAGAAGGAACAAGAAGAGAATGTGGACAGGGCTGGGATGCAGAACACAGGAGAACAGTTATCCTGAGGATGGGGGCTCTAGGGTTGTAGCTAGAATGAAAGGGTTTTGTATTTCCTGAGGATTGTGGAAATTTCAGTAACAGAAAATTGAGAGCATTCCAGCCTGGTTGCTTCTCTTTTTCAGTTCTCATATTTTGGCAACTCAAGTTCATTGCCTATGTGATTGAGTAAATCCCTCACTCCAGGGCAGACATTCCATCTTCCCAATGCCTCATTAGAAACAGTGTGCATAGTGTTTGGGAAAAGTATAGTTTTTGTGGGGTTTGGGAAAAATTGGCTAGCCATCTGGAGTTAAATAAACTTGGATCCCTATCTCAATTCTTATGTAAGATTTCAGAGAGATCTAGGAATTTTTTCCTTTTTAATTTTTAATTATGAAACATTTTAAACATAGAGAAAATGATGTCATAGAGACCCACAAATTCACTGCCAGGTTAAACAGATGTTAACATTTTGCCATATTTTCTTCAGATCTCTGGGTTTTTTAATAAAAGAATAAGATACTAATGATATAGGTTAAAGACCAGCCTCTCATTTCTTCCCTCTCCCTCCTTTATAGAAACAACCACAAACATCTCCATACTTGCTTTATGCTTTTATTACTGATACACATATCATAGACAATACATATTGTTTTGTGTTTTAAAATTATATATCAGTGTTATCAACTTGCTTTTTCACAAATCAGTGTTTTTTGCCATTCTGTGGCATTACCTGGAGATATCTAGTTCAATGATATTAGTGGCTGCATTGTGTTTCATTGTCTATTTAACCATTCTTTCACTGAGAATCAGTAGGGTTTCAGCTCACTTTCACACATAGCCTTGAAAGTAGGTCTCATTGTGAACGTGAAAGAGTTTCTCCAGGGAAATACTTTGAAGTAGAATCATTGGGTTACAAGGAGTGCATATTTTATTGGTGAATTTCATCCAACACTCATTTTTTCAATGTCTTTTTTTTTTTTTTTTACATATAGGCATTCTTTATTTGTTTT